ATTCCATGTCCTCTCTTGAATCCAGCCTGCATTTCTAGAAGTTCTTTGTCAATATACTGCTCCAACTGTTTTAGAATTATCTTAAGATTTTACTTGCATGTGATATTAATGATATTGTTTGATAATTTCCATATTCTGTCGGATCACTTTTCTTTGGAATGAGTACAAACATGGATCTCTTCCAGTCAGTTGGCCAGGTAGCTGTCTTCCAAATCTCTTGGCATAGCCAAGTGAGCGCCTCCAATGCAGCAATTGTTTGTTGAAACATCTCACTGGGTATTCCATCAATTCCTGGAGCCTTGTTTTTTGCCAATTCCTTCAGTGCATCCTTGACTTCTTCCCTCAATACCACTGGTTCTTGATCATTTGCCACCTTCTGAAATGGATGAGGGAGCTCTGGTGGCATAGTGCCTAAGGCATTGGACTACTAACCAGAAGGTTGGTGGTTCAAACCCATCACCCACTCCTCAGAAGGAAGACTGGGCAATCTACTTCCATAGAGATGTTGTTGTTGTTGTTGTTATGTGCCGTCGAGCCGGCCCCGACTCATAGTGACCCCTCCTTGGGTTTCCGAGGCAGTATCACTACGGAAGTAGGATTGCCCAACCTTCCTTCCGAGGAGTGGCTAGAGATATCTCCTTGGAAACCCAAGGAGGGGTCGCTATGAGTCGGAATTGACTCAATGGCAGTGAGTTTGGTTTTCATGTTGAAATGGATGAACACTGACCAATTCTTTTTGGTACAATGACTCTGTATATTCCTTCCATCTTGTTTTGATGTTTCCTGCATCATTCAATATTTTGCCCATGTTGTTGTTATGTGCTGTGGAGTCGAACCTGACTCATAGCGACCCCTCCTTGGGTTTCTGAGGCAGTGTCACTATGGAAGTAGATTGCTCAACCATAGAATCTTTCAATATTGCAGCTCAAGGCTTCTATTTTTCCTTGTTCAGTTCTTTCAGCTTAAAAAGTGCCAAGTGTGTTCTTCCTTTTTTGTTTTATAACTCCAGGTATTAAGACTAGGGACCATATCCTAGGAACAACCTGTGGACTAAGTGCAAAATGGAAATAGACTCCCTAATAAAACTCCCTAACTAAAACCAGACCTCCATTGGGTCAAGGTAAATTGCCAGTAAAGTAACTGTTTGTTAGAACAAATTCAACATTGTTCAGTAAATTTAAGTTTTAAAATGCATCATCTACAATGTACAGTAAACAACTAAAAACTATCATATATGTAAAGAAAAGAGAAACTGTATTCAAGGTCAAGAGAAAAAGTAGTTGATAGAAACACACCTATAACCCAGATGTTAGAATTAGCAGACAGGATTTTAAAAAAACTATGATAAAAAATATGCTTAAAAACACACATTTTGTAGATTTTACAAATCATGACCTCACCCACCCCAACATGCCAGTGAACCTGAGTTGCCCATGATTTTTAATCAAATTGGGATTTGGAATAGTTTATATTTGAAAGCCTGGGGCAAACACGTTGAAAGTGATTAATGGCATCCAAACTTAATTATATATTTACACCTCCCAGTAGGACAAGGGAGAGAATGAATGTCTTATCTCTCTGTAGTGAGAGGGCTTTATTAAAATCTGACCACAACAATTCAGGAGCAGTACTTGAGCTTTGTGCAAGATTACACAGGTTTCTCCTTGTCTGGCATCCCAATCTAATCCCTGACTGATAGGGCACTTAGGCTCCGAATAGTGAGAAAAAACAGTTGAGATGTGTACGAAACTAAACTTTAAAAGCACTTATCCACATCTGTCAGTGTGATCTTATCAAGGATTTCTATAATTTCTATAAACAATCATTGTATTTTAGCTGAATCAGTAGCATTATGCTGTTAAAGGAGATAGATACTCTCTACTTTAAAACACTTTGCACCAATTCCCACCACCCCCCAGAAAAAGAATTTGGCTTCAATTTTCTTTTCTTAATCCACTAAGCAATATCATGAATAAAAAGATAATCACATGCTCTGCATGTCTGATGTAATTCCTATAAACCTTCTAAGAGTTCTAATTTTATTTACCATTTTGTGAAAATATTATTTACTGAACAAGCTGGATTACTTTCTGTTCCCAAGGTCAATGCAGATATACTGGAAAGTCTGCTCAGTGAGATGCTATTTTTGCTTAAAAATTTGCTTAAGATTTTGTAGAGACTGGCATGGTATTTTAAGAATGACTGACTGGGGCTCCCTGATTTCATTCTTGCTTGTCCTGTGGCTACCTTTGTTGACCCTGCCACTCCTGAAGATGCTAATACTCAGGTGAGGAAACACTCTCTTCTCACAAATAGTGCTGTTCATACTGGTCTCCCAGGAAGACGATCTCACCAGTTTTGTCTCTCTGTTTTTCTTCTTCTTCTGCTTATCACCCCTTCTCTCAAATAACTTGTTTTCCCCAAAACAAAGTTGGAGAACATCTGAGAGATCAACCCAGAACTGCACCTATAAACATCCCACCCTGTCAACAATTAGCAAGTATCCAGGCATAGAATTCGGCATCTCCATTTTTATCAACTACAAAGTCAGTTCACTATCCCCTAGCAGTATTTCTTCTAGAAACTGGAGGTGACCTTGTCTCTCCCACCTTGTCTGAGAGCCAGAGAACTACAGCCCACAAATCTGCTTCTCCTCAAAAGTGCCCTGTAGTACTGTCCTCTTTTGGAAAGGGCCAGAAAGTAATCTCCCTTTAAGACCTTCTTTCCCTTTGTCAGACTGCAAATACATAGGCCAGAACTTAAAACTTGTAACAAGTAAATCTAAATTGCCTTTTTGTATGGACTGCTATCCTGATGCTACATAAGGTAGATAATATTCTCAGAAGATAGGACCAGTGTCTTCTTATTTAAGACAAATAGATAAGCATGTGCATATATAAATCAAATGAATGATGATGGCCTTTGAGTATCTTATAGTTCAAGAAACACATTTCTGAGTGTTAGCTATATACCAAAGGAGCTCTGGTAGCTCAGTACCTGAACCATTTGACTGCTAACCAGAAGGCAGCCCATTCAAACCCACCAGCCACTCCACAGAAGGAAGATGGAGCAATTTACTTCCATAAAGATGTACCACCTTGGAACCCAATGGGGGTTACTATGAGTGGGAATCAACTCTGTGACAGTGAGTTTTAGCTATATACTGGCATTATACTAGCATTAACCACAGAAACATAAATGAGACCAGAAGCTCACAATCTAGTGGGAGAAACAAACACATCATAGTATAATGGGTTAACTGCTATAAGAGAAGGAGCTCTGGTGGCGTAGTACCTAAGGCATTTGACTGCTAACCAGAAGGCTGGTGGTTCAAACCCACCAGCCATTCCTTGGAAGGAAAGT